GTAGATAAATCTTGGGCAAAGACCAGTTGTTCTCAGATAAACCTTACCTGGGCATATATTTCTTGATCTACTATGTATAATTTGTCAGTAGTTGTAGGAATAATATGGTTTTCTCTGGTTTTCAAAACTAGCTAGGCATTGTTTATCTCTCACATTGTCTCACCCCTCCATCATGGTTTTCTTCTTTGATATTCTTTTTTTTAAAAAATATTTTAGTTATTATTTTATGTGTACGTGTGCATTACCTGCATGTAGGTAAGTGCACCTGTGTAGTGCAATGCCCATGGAGATCAGAAGAGGCTGTCAGATCCCCTGGGACTGGAGTTATGGACAGTTGTTAGCTGCCATGTGGGTTCTGGGATTCAAACCCGGGTCTTCTGCAAGAACAACCAGGGTTCTTAACCGCTAAGCTATCTCTCCAGCATTTTCTCCAGTTGTGGATGTCTGTAATAGTTTCCACCTGTTGCAAAAAGAAGCTTCTTTAATGAGGAGTGAGAGCTACACTTATTTGTGAGTGTAAGGATTAGTATTTAGAATACAGCTAGAAATTATGTTGGTTTAGGAAAATGGCAGTACTAGCTTCTCCTTTAGGGTCTATGACCACTTCATTCATGGGTATTTGGCTAAGTTTATAGTATCAGGTATGAGCTCCCATCTATTGACTAGGCCTTAAGTCCAATTAGACAGCTGTTGGTTATCCCCAAGCTAAAAGTGTCACTATTGCACCACTGGGGATATCTTGTCTGGCTGGCTATTGTTGCAGTTCATAGGCTTTACAGTTTGCAGAACTACTGACTGGTTTTCTCCCTTAGTAGCTTACATAGCATCTTCTAATACTATGAGAGTTAGTCCTCAGGAAGGAGGCTTCCAGATCAGTTCCTCCAAGTCCTGTGTCCGAAGTGTGTGGTGTCTTCAGCAGTGAGGTCTTATATCCACATTCTGGGAGGCAACCAAGGGCTGTGGCAGTAGCTATCCCTGGTGGTCTGGTAGCTAAGATTTAGCTTGCTATTTTTATTAGCGGTATCAACGACAAATATAATGTCACTGCAGAGGGCTGGAGAGATGGTTAAACACACTTGTTGCTCTTCCAGAGGACCTAAGCCCAGCACCTACTGGGTGGCTCACAGCTACCTATAACTCCAGTTCCAGGAGATTTGACACCCTCCTCTGGTTTCCATGGGTATCTTTCTGCATATGTGGCATCTGCATATGACAAGCACATAAACATACATGTACATATAAATACAACTTTTTAAAAATCTTCCAGAAAGTTCACTGAAGAAATGGTTTCTTTGATGCCATTAAAAGACACAGCTAGGAGCTGGAGAGATGGCTCAGCGGCTAAGAACACTGGTTGTTCTTGCAGAAGACCCAGGTTCGAATTCCAGAACCCACATGGCAGCTAACAACTGTCCATAACTCCAGTCCCAGAGGATCTGATGGCCTCTTCTGTCCTCCGAGGGCATTGCATGACATGGGTGCACTTACCTACATGCAGGCAATACACTCATACACATAAAATAAAAATAATAAATAAAATATTTTTTAAAAAAAGAAGTTAATAAAACATGAATGAAAAGGGCTTTATTATTCAGGACAGGAGCTATAGAAAAACCAAGAATAAATATAATAGAACTGAGTGTGGTATTCTGTTAAAATAACTCAGAAAAAGCCATGTATTGCCGGACATGGTGATGCACGCCTTTAATCCCAGCACTTGGGAGGCAGAGGCAGGCAGATCTCTGTGAGTTCAAGGCCAGCCTGGTCTACATAGTGAGTTCCAGGACAGCTGGGGCTACAGGGAGACCCTGTCTCAAAAAGACCCAAAAAAAGCATATATCATAGCTTAAGTCAAAATGGTAATATATTAGTGATTAGAACCTTGTTGAAAGTACACAAGTGTTCAGTATACCATATTCTTCTTACCTTTCTGTTTGAAATATTTATAATTAAAAATATGAAGATCTGAGGAGATGACTCAGTGAAAAAGTGCTTGCCATAAAAGCATGAGGTTCTAAATTTAGATTCCCAAGATCCACTAAAAGCTGGAAGTTTCAGCACATATCAAAAATATCGATATCCTTAGCAGGATGAGAGGTGAAGACAGGAGAGTCCTCAGAAACTGTCAGGCCAGATAGCCTAGTGTACAAACATCAAACAACAAGAAACTCTGTCTCAGACAAGGAAGAAGGCGAGGTTGCCGTTTGACCTCTGTATGCACAGGTGGCACATGTACCTATATGTATAGACATAGCAATAGACACACACACACACACACACACACACACACAATTTTAAAAAATGAAAAGAGCTAAGGAAGTATAAATACCATATATCTTTTTCTACGTTGACATATTTTACTATCGTTGTTGCTGACCTGCCTATTTGATTTTTAAAAATATCAGTGTGTTTGTGAGTTTCACA